GGGGGGGATCAGGATGGGGGCTCAACACAGGCACCATGCTCTGCCTTCAGGAGAGCAGCAGCAGGTGACCTGGACGCTCCTGTCCTCAGGCCACTGCATCCAGGCTGTCAGCAAGGAGGGGTTTTCATGTCGCTGTTTCCTCCAGATGCCAGCACTGTTTCATTCTGGGGTTTGCTCCCAAACGAATTTGCTGCAACCTTGAAAAATTCTTTCTGTTCATAGGGCTTTGGGGTTTTAAAACTGGGATGAGAGGGTGTGGGCCTGTGTTTTGTCATAAGGACTTGGGGGAAGGCGAGGGGAGCGGAGTGAGGCTCCCTCACGTGCACATTTGAAGGTGGCTGTTGATAGAATGCAGGCTGGGTGGAGGCTGGAGGGCAGGTGAACCTGCTGAGCTCCAGCCGACCCCGTGCAGCCACTTCTCAAAAGTTAGCCGCCTTGATCACCTTCAGCGGGAGCTGGTGTGGACCTGAGGGACGGTGGTGGTGACTGTCGTTGGTGTCCGTGCTCGGGCCCTGGGTCTCTCCCATGGGCCCCGCCTCCAGACCAGACAACTCAGTCTCCCCATCTCTCTCCTGTGGGCAGCCCTTTCTTCCAGTGTTGGGTCACCCATCCTCCCAGCATCTTCTTGCCTCGGGTTTGTGCCCACAGTGAATGTTACCTGTGAGGCTCAGGGACACACCTGGTGGGTAAAGGGGAGCCCCTCGGTGCTACTGAGGCAAACTTCCCCAACCAGCCCCCTTCCCTCGTAGGTAAAACACTGTCCCTGTGTGTGACACAGGCATGTGCCGGCACAGCTCTGGCCTCATCCTCCAGAGCCCTGTCCTAGCCCAGGCCACCCACCCATCAACGTATGTCCTTTGTCCTGTTTCCTTCACTTTAATACTTTGTGACTTTTTTTCCAAACATCTCTTTTTATAAACAAACATGAACAAACATGAGAGGGGATCAAGTATTTCAACAATACACACAAAGTGTAAATACTGGCTTTGATTCCATCACTTCATCCGGAAAGCCCGTTGGGGCCACTAAGCAGGCTGAGGGCACAGACCTGCAGGGCTGGGGAGACACACACGCTCTGGGCTCCCGGGCCTGAGTGCAGCGCATCTCCACATGGACAGGCGCCCTGGCCTCGTTTAGAGAAAGGAAGGTCGCGAGCACACGCTTTGCACTCCTGTGTGCTCTTCTCCCTCTGGGGCAAGAGCTGCAGAGCGTGCAGGTGACAAAGTGCTGTGCATGCGTCTGGGCGTTGGTCACCTCGTCCCTGGGATGTGAGACTGGGCGGGTGGGAGTGAGGGGCTCGGCGTAGTCGCCAGGCACTGTGCACCAGTGCCGCCACAGGGTGGACCCCTACTGCTAGCCATCTATGCCAGCACCTGCTGGACCCCCACCTGGTCCACAGAGCAGCTCTGGCGTCCACAGGGCATTTTCTTCACCATCCGCCGCAGCTTGCTGGGGAAGCTCCTGTTGATGTAGCGATACAGCAGCGGCGTCACAGAGCTGCTGGAGAAGGCCAGGCACCGGGACAAGTCCTTGGCAAAGAGCAGTATTCCCAGGTGCTGCCCGTCTACAGGCTCCCCCCGCAAGGCCAGGGACGTGTGCCCCAGGAGGGTCAGGTAGTGCGGCGTCCAAAGTCCAAACTGTGTGCACACAGTGGCCACCAGGAGCCTGTGCACCGAGGGGTCCAGCCTCCCAGAGTCGTGGTCAAGAGGCGTGTCCTCCTTGCGGATCCTTGAGATGAGCGCAAGGGCGTAGAGCACAGCCAGGCCGGGCACCAGGTACCCGATAAATACCAGGATGGCATCAGCAGCCTCCGTGTGCTGCATCTTGGCGCACTCGACGATCCTGGCCGCCACATGGCTACAGATATAGAAGAGCAAGGAGGAGAAGCTGGTGAGCAGGGCCCCGCCCCAGACAAAGCCACACACGTGCCGGCTATTGTAGACGCTGGACATGTAGGTGCGTGGCAGGGCCCGCTCAATATAATAGTCAAGGCTGAGCAGGGCCGTGGAATACATGGTCACCAGGGAGCAGACGTTGAACAGAACCAGCAGTGTGACGTGGGCCTCGCTGCTGAAGCCCCACAGAGCCCATCCTGAGGTGCTGGGGCCAAGCAGGTGGGCGGGTGCCAGGACGCTGAGCACTAGGCCAGCGACTGCCATGTTCACGAAGTACACATCAGGCATGGTCATGCTGCTCTGGTCCTGCAGGTTGACCAGCACCAGCAGGGCATTGTAGCCTAGGCCGATGGGGACACCCACCACCAAGTAGAGCAGGGAGAAGACAGACAGGACCAGGTGGAAGTGCGGGCAGAGGGGCTGGTCCTCGCCCCGGCCCGTGCCGTTGAGCGAGCTGCAGCTCCACATCGTGCCAGGCTCAGCTGGGCTGTGGGAGAAAGAGGGAGGTTAGTGTTATCTGGAGCCAGAGCCCCGGGTCTGTGGGTCCCTCGGATGAGCTCGGAAACAGCCAGAAACCGGGGCTTTTTGAAAAGGAGGTTATGTCTCCTGAGTTTCCTGTGAAAGCCAAGCTTCTGCCACAGGGAACCCGTCTTAGGGCCTGAGCTGGGCCAGTGCCAGGAAGGTCACGCGCTGCAGGGATCCTAGTGGCCACAGCCAGTCTCCCTGACCGGATTCGGAGAGAAATCTGAGCAACGGGTAAATCATCCAGGCCACTCCTGGTGTGTGTGTCCCGGCAGGGCAGACCCCTACCTGCGCACCCTCAGCAGTGGCTGGTGGAGTTCAGGGGCTCCCCCCCACCAGGAGGGGATACTCTGCAGCACCCTGCTGACCTGGGCCAGAGGCCCTCAGCGAGGTGGGGGCCCTGCCAGGACTCAGACCTGGGCTCAGTCCTGCTCCTGCTCCTACCAAGTCCAGGCTGTCTGACTGGGAACAAGCATGCCCCCACCACCCTTCACCCCAGCTCTGTTGCTGAAAAGTGAGGTTAAGAACAGAAAGGCCTGCAGTGGGGAGAGGGGCTGGCCTGAGGCTGACCTCCTACTGCCAGTGCTCAGCCTCATCACCCCCCCCAAGCACCAGGGGCTGGCCTTTGTACCAACCAGGACGTAGCCCTGCTTTCTGGCATCAATTTGGACTCTTCCCCACGTGTGGGAATCTACAGCCCCTCTGACCACTGTCCCACACGTTTCTCGTGGCGCCTGGTAACATAGGACGCTGGACAGAGCACTGGTGTGTGTGGCCCGTGGTGAGCCTGAGCTGTGCTGGGAGAGTAGGAAGTGCTGCCTCTGGGGAGATGCCCGCACACGGGGTGGAGACCTGAGAGGGGCCTGTGACGTTCACCCTTGTCTTCACGAGGCTCAAGTGAGGTCACTTACTTTGTGAAGCCCTCAGTGAACCTGGGGCTTCCTGGGCAAGTGCCTGTGGGAGCCTGACCCCGCCAGGTGCTGTGGCAGACAATAAGTGGGTGCTGGGCCCGGCACGGACAGAGTGGGTCGGGTGGCCTGTCTGCCCCAGCATGGGGGAGGCCTAGGTGCGGCTCAGCACTAACAATCTGAGTGAACTCTGGCAGAACAGAACTATTGCTAGTCTCTTTGGAGAAAAACCTTATAATCGAAATGTAGTTTGGCCCAAGCACGTGCCCACAGACCAAGAAGAGGGACATGTTTCCCAGGCTCAGGCCACAGCAACAGCCAGCCTGATGAACAGTGGGGCCCCACCCTGGGGTGACATGGACAAAGGGTTCTGCAGTCTGTGGACAAGCAAGTCAGTCCTGTCCTCCTGTCCTATGTCCCATAGACCTTTACCGCCGTCCGTCCTGTCTCGCCACCGTGCGGGTCGTCCAGGAGGACTGCACCACTGCAGGCCGGGGTAGTGGAGACGGGAGGTGGTCTCGCAGCATCCTCCCACCCCACAGCAGGAGTGCGTCTGCGTGCCCCCCACAACCTCTGGCCGCCATGGGGCAGGCGGGTGGGACACCCTTTTGAGTGCCACCCAGCAGCCTACACAGTGGGTGTCAGGTGGTAATGAAGGTACTGGGCGCCCAGCTGGCCCGGCTCTGCCCACACTTTCAGTTACGTCACTGTCAGGAGAAGTGTTTACTTTGCACAGTGAGGCAATGGGTCCTCAGATCTGGATGGTGCTCCTCGGCCTGTGGGGCTGGATTCCAGGAGCGCCAGGCAGGGAGGCACTCCCACCGCCCTCAGGCCCCTGGGCCCCTCCCTGGCACAGCTCCTGAGGGAAGCTCTGGTTGTTCCTGAGCCGACCTCGACCCCTCGCAGTTTCCTCTCCCATGTCTCTTCCCTGAGTGTGCCTGCGAGCGAGCAGCGCAGGTGTGTAACTGCCACCTCCTGTTCTGTGTGCTCGGTCCGTCCTGTCTCCAGGCTCCTGCCTGCTGAGCTGTGGGAGTGCATGGTTGTAGGGATTCATCCACCAGACCTCCCTGGCCTCCAGTCCCCGCAAACACTGTATTCTTGGGGCCACCCCAGAGCATCCTGGCCTTGCCTGGCTTGCCCAGCCTCCGAGGACCCCTGGATCTACCCAGGGTGTTCCCACCTACCCTCACATCAGCTCTCCTTCCTATGGGGACAGAAGGGGGGCTGAGCCCTGGAAAGGAAGGCACTCCGCTGTCACTGGGACCCGTGTCGTCTCATTGGTGCGTTTACTAGCGGATGAGACAGGCGCTCGGTCCCACCAACCTGGTCCTTCTCAGGCGCTTCTGTTAGCTTCCTCTCACTCCATCCAGCAGGTGACATGAATGTGCTGGGTCTGCTCTTGCCCAGCCCCTCCCGTCCCCTCAGCAGCCAGCTTCCTGCACAGCCCAGCCTCACAGAGAGCATCTGCCCTCGCCTTGACTCCGTGTCCCATGCATCCTTGTGCCAGGACAGAGAGGCTCGTGAGGTGGGGGCACCCAGCCTCCTCAGGGCGCCTGTGGGGGTGCTGGGTGAGGTGCCCGTGTCTTCTAGTCATCACTCGAGTCCCTGCCTCCCTTGGCACACACTGGGCCCCTCCCTCTCTCTGTCTACAACCGTTTCAAACGAGGGGCTGTGCCTGGACAGACCGTGGCTCTGGTTGCTCCTGCCCTCCAGCTCCTGTGCCCACTGTGCCTGGCCCCACGTCCCCAGCCCACATGTGGGGGCATTTAGTTAGGAGCTCCTTGTCCACTTGAGGAAATGAGCCGAGCAGACATTTGTGGGTGGAAACCAAGGACACAGAGCCAGACCTCAGAGGGATCCAACGCTTCCCCTGGGGTTGGAGTGAACACCAAGAGCTCTGACACAGTGTCCGGCGGGG